TTATTCTATTGCAGTCCACCTGAAGTTCAAGCTCGCTTTCGTGAAGCAATGCCTGATCCAGCTCCTGAAGAATATCATACTGTATCACTTATTGACCATGTTGGAAGACAATTAATTTGTATACCACAACAAAAATATGAGAGCATTTATGAATTAAAGTCTCTTAAACATGATTTCGCTGGTATAATTACATATCGTAATAAATTACGCGATGTTTTATTGGAAGGTGTTGATATCCAATGGGGTAAAAAATGTGTTGGATATGAAGAAAGTGATGATGGTATTTGGGCTCTATTTGATGATGGAACTAGAGAATTTGGTACTTTATTAATTGGTGCTGACGGAATTAATTCGTCAAGTAAGTTATACTATCTCTAATAATAAATTCATTCATCTTTTTTTACTTAATAAATTATTCATGCTATTTTTATTTATCTTTTATAGTTCGAAAACAAAAGGTTCCTAACTTGGAAATCTTCAACCTTGGTGTAACTAGCGTCTACGTAGATGTTGCTATACCAAAAAATATGGCTGAAAAATTGCTGGCTTTTTACAACAATGCATTAATGCAAAAATCTGTTGGTATAAATGGTGATACGTTCTTTTCAGCTATGCGTTTGATACCAATCGATCAATCCGGTGAACCTCACTACAGGTTCTTCATTGGATTTCATTATCCGACAATCCTCGACAGCAAAGACCCAAATAGTAAATTAGTTGATGATGATGATCCTGAATCCGTTATGAAACATACAATTTCAAGAATCAAACAATTACGTCCACCTTGCGAATTGACGGATCTTATGGTCGACATTTTTTCGTTGGTTCCAACCTCTGATCCAGGAGAGAAGTATCCGTTTCGAGTGTATAATGCTCCACGACGTCGTCCGCTTCGTGATATTGATCCATCATCTGTCCCTCCCTGGAAAAATGATAGAGTCATTTTGTTAGGCGATGCAGCTCATGCTATGAATCCAATATTAGGATTAGGTTTGTATTTATTAAAACTGTCCATATATCCGATCTGCATTAATGCTTATTTTTATATATTTTTTAAGGTGCAAATAATGCGATACAAGATGCCGATCTGTTAACTAAGGAATTACTTAATTATGCGTATAAAAATGATGATGCATTCAAAGATACAACGAACAAATGAGAGCTCGATCATCTAAAGGCGTTCAGTCATCACGTAATGCAGCACTAAGGCAAAAAGTTCCAATTGGAACTTTTGGTTTGATTTTTAGATATTTGATGCTTAGAGCTGCTAATGTTCTTATGTATGTTGTAGTATTGATTCAAACTCGTCCTAACTTTATTCCTAACATTTCTTTATTCATCCTATTATTTTTTATATTTTTTTATGTAAGCTACTACGATATTCTTTATATTTGAATATTTATATTCAAGTCCTAACTTTAATGTTATTATTTTTTATATTTTTATGTAAGCTACTACAATATTCTATATTTGAATGTTGTATATTCAATATACAGTCATACCTCTTTATAACCCCATAATCACATATGTTACCACACTTCCATTTGAGCCAATTACTATTTAATATATATATATGTATACTTCTATATAAGCAACCTCTTTATAAGCACTTTTTTTTTAAAAAAAAATCACTAAGGCACCAAATGTGTGATTTTAAAGAGGTACGACTGTATTCGTTATTATAAATTTTATATATGTATGAGGAAATATAAGATATCCAATTTTTAATTCTCTATAATATATTATATATTAAGAAAAAAAGGATTAAGATCTTTTAAAATTATAAAGTGAAGAACTGAATTAATCAAAATTCTCAAACTCACAAAATTTTTTGTTTTTTTTTCTTTTGTTTCTGTTAATCTCTCCGAATAAAACTCATGTGGTTTTTGGTCATTCGAGTCTTCCCCACGATTAGCTACAAATGCACATATTTTTCCCTATAACAACGTGATTATTTAGACTTCTACTTCGTAATGAACTAATAACCTGATAATGTATTTACGCGTATTAATGAGAAGGGCGTTATTTCGAGACACTTGATTTCTAGTGAGCTAAGAATTAATTACCATATTAGTATAGCTAAATGGGCAAATATCTTCCTACAACTAATATATCCACATCATATAGCTAAATTAAATCTAGCAGAGCGTTGGGCCGAGGATAAACTAGCCCTAGCTGTAGGTCCCTGTCATGTAATCCATTTAAATAATATAACGATAGTTATTCAATAATGACCGAGGCCAGGCCTCACTCTTAAAAAAAATAAAAGTAAGTAAATTTATCAGCTGATTATACCCCGCCTACTCTTGTAATAATATCTAAAAATAGATTTTTAACAATTGCAAGTTGCAATAATCTCGGTTTAAAAAAATAAACTTTATCAAAATTTGCTTATATTCTTTTATTATCAAAACTCCTAATGTGACCATCAAAAAGCTAAAAAAAAAAAATTACACTCTAAAAATATTGAAAATTTCATGGTAAATATTTAGAATTTCAGCTACAGCCGCGACATTTCTTGTTTTAGTGCAATCTTGGCTTAAATGTTGGTTGGACAAAGACCTTATATGTATTATGAATTTGATGCTAACCTTGCGCTGAATATTTGCAGTCTGAAATTGTTTTGGGAACTCCAGATTTTTACATTGAATTAGCTATGTACTGTGTAATCCTGGTCTACAGAAAAGACCTATCATCAGAATGCATTAAATAAACTTTGAAAATGGAATATGATCATACAAATTCAAGTAGAAAATACAATATGTCACCGCCTGAAGTATCAACAAAATAATGAAATAACTAAAAATGTTTTAGTCTAAGGACTTTATTATTCATTATGTTATATTTAAATAAACTTTTTATTGATGTTTAATTTGAATAGATACAAGATTTAGCGAAAAATGTCTGAGCTGTATGTTATATGTGACCTGTTTTTCTAGATGTGGGATTTTTGCTAGGAAAATCGCCCTTCGAGATTTTCCGATAGGGTTAACGCGGAAAAACTTAGACCGTAATACCGGTTCTTATTCAAATGTAATCATCCTATACTTTATTGATTCAATAGTTTTTTAAATAGACTATCGAATCAATAAAATAAAAGACGATTAACATGCGAATAAGAACCGATAATCGGTCTAAAATTTTCCGAATTAGCCTAATCAGAAAATCTCGAAGAGCGATTTTCCTAGCAAAGCTCACATGTTTGGATTAGTTAATTGTAAATTGTAAATTAAAAGTTTTGGTTATAATGAGTTCGGTTTATTAACATTTACGCGTATCTATGTTTTAATAGTAAATGGAATCATTTCATTTTACCGATAGTCTTCACCGAAAACTTAATTCACCGACAAAGTAATTTGGTCATTGTTGGTAGGGTCAAGTTTAGAATTAGAATTAAGGTTATTGCAATATTTAAAAAAATCTTGTCAGTGAAATTAACTGCCGATGAAATAATTGTCGGTGAAATGAACTTGTCAATGAATTGATTGTCGGTGAATAGATTGTCGGTGAAAATAAACTTCTCAGTGAATTGATTGTTGGTGAAGTAGGGATAATTAAAAACAGGTTTAAACCAATTTAAAAATGTATTGTTAAAGTCCGAATAGTTAAATCTTGATTTATATATAGTTAATATCATAATTACAACCTGCTTTTAATTACGTAATTAAAAACTTTTGTATCCTTACCGATGCAGATCTGTTTGAAATGCATGTGATAGATTCTTTAGTGAGTATTTATTACAGTATTAGTATGTAGTGTGACGCAACCAAGTTTCAGAATTAAACTTTGGCTTGTGGAACATGTGAGATATGTAGTGTAACTTTATAATAGTCTATGCGAAGTTTATAGTAAAGAGTATACTTTAATTAGACTCTTATATAGTTATACGACATACTTATAAATAGTAAATAGTCAATTTGTAGTTTAATTATATGTATAAGTATAGGCATATAGAACGTTAGTATTGAGGGTTAGAG